GCTGCATTAAACACTAATGTATGTGTGGATGGTTTACTTGCTGGCAAGCATTATCTTTCTCCCACTGAACTTATATATTAATGGAAGGGAATGATTTTTAATTTTAAATGTGCTTTGCTTTGCACACCACATGCGGCTCTAAAAGTGCTACACATTATGCGGGGTGAATAGCTTTCTGTTAAATTATAAATCATTGACTAGATTCTTTATTTTAACTATTGACTGATTTTATCTCTTTGGATAAAATGTGGGAACCTTAGTGCATGTATAGACATCCTGTGATCTGAACTCTGTGAAGAAAATCTCACCAATCCTTTATTATGGACTCCTTCAAACTCTAATAACTACAGATTGGCAATATTTGCACATATTGTGTATAATGTATATTGTATTATAATTCTAACATTCTTCATACTACTTTCTTTTTTATTTGTATTTGTTTATTTATTTTTTAAAGATTTATTTATTATGTATATATCATTCCTCCTCATGCATCCCTGAAGGCCAGAAGAGGGCACCAGATCTCATTACGGATGGTTGTGAGCCACCATGTGGGTGCTGGGAATTGAACTCAGGACCTCTGGAAGAGTAGTCAGTGCTCTTAACCACTGAGCCATCTCTCCAGCCTCTAATACTACTTTCTTAATTGTCTGTCTTCCCTTAACAAGAATGTAGGCTGCAAAAATACACCCAAGGATTTGTAGAGCTGGTTCAGTGATTAAGAGTACTTATTGCTTGTCTAAGTTAGGGTTACTATTGCCTGATAAAAGACCATGACTGCCTTAGTTAGCTTTACTATGAAACACAATGACCACGGTAATTCTTATAAAAGAAAGCATCTAATTGGGACTGGGTAACAGTTCAGAGGTTTACTTCCTTATCAACATGGCAGGAAAGCATGACAAACACAGGCAGACATTGCACTGGAAAGGTAATTGAGAGTTCTATATCAGGATCTGCAGGCAGCAGGAAAAGAGAGAGACACTGGGTCTGGCTGAACATTTGAAACTTCAAAATCCATCCTCAGTGACACACTTCCTCCAACAAGGCCATATCTACTCCAAGGCCACCCCTCCTATTCCCTGTCAAGTAGCACCACTCCCTAATAACCATGCATGCAAATCTATGAGCCTATGGGAGCCATTCTTATTCAAATCACCACAACGACCAAAAGCAACTTGGGGAGGAAAAGATTTGGCTTATAAATCCTAACTAATGTAACTAATTGAGGGAGGTCAAAGCAGGAACACAAATAAGGCATTGTTGCTTACTGGCTTGCTCCTCATGGCTTGCTCAACCTGCTTTCTTATTGAACCAGCCCAGGGATGGCACCACCCACTATGGGCTGAGCTCTCCTCCATCAACCATTTATTAAGAAAAATGCCCTACAGGCCCACCTACAGCCCAATCTTATGGAGATATTTCCTCAACTGAAGTTTCCTTTCCTCAGATGACTCTAGTTTGTGTCAAGCTGACATAAAACTAGGCAGCACACAGTTCTGTCATGAGGACCAGAGTTAGGATCCCAGCGTCCATATTGGGTGGTTTACAAACACCAGTAACTCCAGCTCCAAAGGCTCTGACTCTCTTCTGGCCTCTGAGGAGACTCCCCAACATGCACACCTGCATACACACTCAGAGATTTAAAACAATACAAATAAATCTTCAAAAAAAAAAACCACTAAAGAAAAATGATGACTAAATGGATAAAGGAATTTCTTTTACTAGGGCAGTAATTTCCTTGTGCAAACTTTGGTGACTTCTATTCATTTTTCAAATTATAGCTTGCTATTCACCTTTTCTCCCAACCGCTGCTTCTTTGCTTTCATGACAAGCTCTATTTTTTTATTATTTGTTTTTATAAACCCCAGATTTCTCCTAAGAAATTATTGGAACTTTCTTATGCCAAGTCTATCATTTGTAAAATAATTTGTTTAATTTCTGGGTTCTCCCCTAAGCTGTAAGCTCTGTGAAACCGAAAACATTAAAATTTCTTCTTAATTATATCCCCTAGTATCTACACCACAGTAGAGGAATATAGAGATGGTCTGTGTGCATCTGATACATGACACTGTGGATGGGAGCTGATTACATAGCTCATTAGCTCTTTGGTTGTCATGTTCTGACAGTTCAATGTTCTCTTAGCACCACTACCAACAAAAAGAATGTGTCATTGGTAAGCCACCGGATAATGTTTTAATATACTGGATATATTTTTATTTGAGCATACATGAATTCAATAATGCTTATAGTATCCATTACTATTTTAATTAAAAAATTTTTGAGGCCTTTATATATAAATACTGTATTTTCATCATTTCCAGCCCCCAACTCCTCTTTTGTCCCCTCAACTCCCTCTCAAGTTCATGACCATATATATGTCCATATACATATATGTATATGTGTGACCATGTATATGTATATGTACACATATGACCATATAGTGTTGCTAGTATGTATACGTATTTAGAGCTGGGCGATTGGGATTGGATAACCCTCACCCCTAGATGAAGAGCTATAGGCTATTAATAGCGGCTAAGAGAAGGATCAGTTTTTTCTCATGGGTAGAGCCCCCTGATAGGATCTATTACTTTTAAGGCCTCATAACCTCTTCCCTTCATTTCACATTATAATTAAACAAATATTTAGTGAATTTCTCTTCTGGACAAATGGGGGGGTGTATAAACAATGAAAAGAACATAATCCTGTTATGTAGCCTAGGCTAGCTTGCTTGGTTGTACAGTAGCAAACCACCACACTTCACTGGGAAGACCAAAGAGCCAAGATTTAAGCCTGAACCAGCTCTTCCATTTTTGATTGTTTATGTGAATTTGGCCAGTTACAACTGAGTCTAAGGTACTTCATCTGCTGGCGAAAACTAAACTATTTTCGTCCTTTGATGTGTGGTCTTGAGGCAGGTTCACAAAGGTACTTTTGTGTAATTACAAATGAGTTAGCAGCTTTTCTTAAGCTTTTCATAATAAATGTGTAGAAATAACAATTTTGGCAAGTGTGGTGATATTTTGCTTATGATCTAACAAATAAAGCTTGCCTGAAGAGCAGTGTGTGGTGCTAGCCACACTAGCTAGCTGTAGGGGCCAGGCAGTGGCAGTACACACCTTTAATTCCAGCACTAGAGAGGAATATAAGACAGGAGGAGATAGGAGCTAAGGTAGTCTGATGTTTGGTGGAGAGCAGGTCAGTGGAGACAGATGCAGTCTGGAGATGCAGTCTGAGGACAGGATCACCCTTTTGTTCCGAGCATTGTTAGAGGTGAGAACTCACTAGCGGCTGGCTTCTCTGATCTTCAGCTTTAACCCCAACATTTGTCTCTGGGTTTTTATTATTCGTGCTAAAGTCAAGTTTACTTACAGATGACTGATAATACGGTATGTGTAACATATACCGTGCTTGAAAGAGTACGACTGCTACCACTAACTTTAAAAGGCGAGTCCCTCACCAGCTTCATTTCCCAGCATCTTAGCTGTAGAAGACACCCAAGAGAGGTGGGGTCAAGTGATCAGCATTGGGGACAGCAGCACGATAAAATATGATCAAGGAAACAAGTATGAAAATAATAAGTTCTAGGGGCTTTTAGATAATTAACAAAAATACTGGTTACAATTAGATACATATCAAATTAGACAAAATGTGTTACAAACCATGATGCTTTAGATGGACAGTAGGAAATGATAGGAGCTTGTGGCTATTATAGTAAGTTTCTCTCTCTCTCTCTCTCTCTCTCTCTCTCTCTGTGTGTGTGTGTGTGTATGTGTGTATGTGTGTGTGTGTGTGTTATACTATAAAATCTCAATGTTCAAATTTTTTGCAAAATTTTTGCCATATGCATCAATGTTGGACAAAAATGGATTAATTTGCCATGATGGCATGCAACATTGGCTTGCTCTTCTTAGCTGTCAAAGTGAATTCGTCGCTGATGGATGCTGCTTTAGCAGTTGTCTGTTTATGATCACATGTAGATTCTGATGATGATGTTCAAAGTGAGTCCTTGAAAGCCAGAGCATAGACTAAATGCCATGGACCATTGCTTGACAGTGCACTTCAAATAGGTTTTCGGTTGTATTCTAGCATCTGACCAAAGGCTTTGTTTGCCTCTGTAAGAGGCGGGGCTGACAAAACAACCATAGAGTAAAGATGATTTTATTTTCTACAGGGTATTTTCTACTTTCTGTTACATGGATATTTATGGGAAGGTGATTGACAAAGTTCAAACACAAAGAGTAACCTCATTTAAGATTCAGAAACACAACAATCACACTGTAAGCTTGGTATCCCTAATTACAGAAGTGATGTGACCACCAAACACATACAAAAGTCCTGCCATTAAGAGGTGGCCGCCATCTTCCACCCTCTTGAAGTCTTTTAGAGATCATCTAATCCCAAAGGGTAATCAAGCACACATCCTGGACGGCACAAATACAAGAGGTCATCAGAGCAAGCCCACACCTTCTGTGCCCACACCTTCATGATGGGACAGGGCAGTGTTCTCGACAGGACACACACTTAGAGGAACATGACAGAATATCCTTAGTAAGACAGAGACCAGAGACAGGAGTACTGTGAGCTCTCTCACACTCTCAAAACAGCACTTTGCATTTCCAGGTGTGCCACCTGCACTCAAGCCCAGTCTTTCAGGCCAGGCCAGAGGCCCTTGGAACATGGATTTGATTTTCTCTCAGTCATTTTTTTTTTTTTTTCCTCATCAATCGCTCCTGAATTTATCTCTAGCACGGACAAAACAGTCCCTTTCTCTGGCCAACTTTTCTCGGCTCCCTGACTCCCAGAGGCCTGTGGCGCCGCTGCCCTGCCTCCTCCCCGGTGGGCCCCCCAGGGCGGGGGCGGGGCGGGCCCGGG